TTAATATCAGTATAAACTATGAGAACAACAATATTACATATATAACATTTAATTCATATAATTAAAAGACAAATTACAATTAACTATAAACTAGTTTTATTTTTCTCTGTGATCGAGAGAACAAAAATTAATATAATAATTGTGCACTAACCTCGTACAATACAAAAGATATAGAAATTTAAACAGGAACAAAAAAAAATATTTATAAGAATCCTTTAAAATAAAAACAGGAACACAAAACAAAGAGAAAACAGAAAGGACAATATAGAACCCTTTTTGTAATAAAAAGGGAAAAAAATATCATAATCCTGTAGCATATATCCTTTTTTTCTCCTTCTCTTCTTTTTGTTTTTTTGTTTCATAGGAGTCCTATTGTCTGCAAAATTGTAAATCGAATAAGTAAAAATATAAATATAAAACAAAGAAACTATTGAAAATAATCAAAAATAATGGAAATTGATTTCTCTTATAACGGTACTTTTTTAGTTTTTTCTCCTTTTTGAAATTGTGAGCAAAAGAACAGAAATTGTGATGAATTGAAAATTAAAGTTTCTCAATCGGTCTATGCAATCATCTTATTTATACTGATCCAACGTACAGAAAATTTCAACCCTTTAAAATCTTCTTTTCTATAAGGTATTTCCCCTTCCCCCTCACTCTCTCTGTTATTGGCACATTGAGTTAATAGCTCAAAACATTTGATTAACTTAGGTTTGAATATGTGAAATTCATTTCAAACTCTCTTATCAATAAGCTTTTTCTCTTTATATGAGTTACTCTTCAAACTTAATGCTCAAATCTTAGGTAAAACTTAGTTTTCAAGTTGTGATGCGCGAAGTAAGCAATTCAACGCACTATTGATGAATGCAATAGAATGGAAGCTTAAATGATGTCAGACTCTTTTTGACTGTTAATTTCTGTTGACAAATTAAATTTAAGCTCGATTTTAAGAAACAGTACAATATTTTAACAAACTTAATTATAATCAATAATTTTCGGTTCAATTTACTAGAGTTGGAAAGAATTTTTTGAATAATTAACAAGAACAATTTATGTTCAAAATAAAAATTCACCATAAATATTTTAAGTAGGTATTTTTAAAATTTTGACCAAATTTAATAACACTTAACAGTTTTCAATGTTAATTTTAAATGTACCGAACCGTTCATAATTTATTTTCCTCTAATTGAAATTTAAAAGAAAAAATTCTTATTCACTATATTTGAAATGTGAAATAATATTATCGGGTTAACGATAACAATTTGGTATTATTCTTACCATTATTTTCAATTTAAATTGTACTGAAATTTTTCTTACTTAATGGAATTTATTATATGTTTGTATGTATGTATATATTTAACATTATATTATGTAGTTTATGTAGAATGATAAAATTCTATACGTATGCCATATTATATACATTTTATATTAGAAGAAATTTTGAGATAAAAAGAAAATATATGAAGCAGCGCGAGAAACAATCTAAAATTCTATATGAAAGGAACTGAACTGGACGATGTTGTATATATATATGTAATCAATTTCCAATTGTTAAAAAAAAAAATAACTGAGGAAAAAACAAAAGAAAACGAAGTCCTATGTTAACTTAATTTTTGGTATATTTTTAAATTTAGGAAAAATAAGCTTAAAATTTTCCGTCTATGCTCGTCCATATGGCAGCTTACTCACAAAATTTCAGTTTATGGTTTAGGTTATAATGCTGGAAATAACTCAAGAAATAGGGCTTAACAACAACCCCCAGCCCTTTACTTGTTTATGTTATTACATTCAAACCATAAGAAATTTGTAAATTCTATTACCCATCAAAGACGCAAGGCAATTCATTTCATTCGAAAAACTCTAAGAAAATTTAAGATTGTCGAAATGATTCAAGATAATAGTTCTTTTCAATCTGTTTTTAGCAAATAATTTAAACGGATTTTCTTCTACCTTATTGTAATTTTGATTATTTTCAAAAATCATATTTTTCTTTTAAATTACATTTTAGTTTCAAACCAATACACTTAGGATCGAATAAAATATTGTGTCCTAAAAGTATGCAATCTGAATGGAAATAAAGAATGGCTTAATTTGAACTCAATGTCATACTTCCATTATTTGAACCAGATCATGACTATTGTCATAGGAGATTTAAATAGATTTCTTAAGAGAATCCGATCGCTTAAATAGGCCACCTGTAATCATATGCTCAATGACGGCGTGTTCATCACAAGGTAGTGGTATATTTGTGTTAAATGGAGTACGATGAACCTGCTGCACTGGTCACTTCAAACCAACCAAATATAACTATTGTTTATGATACAAGCTGTTAACTCAAATTATTAAATAAAAATGTGCTTGTTAAAAAATCATAGATGTGATCCATAGTAATTTCTTCTTTTTTTTGTTTTTACATCTCAAATTCAATTTCAATTTGTTGTTGGTTTCAAAATAACAAATGAATATCCTCCTAGCAAGGATGAATAAATGTGTATAAAAAAAGAAGAAAATGGCAAAGAAAAAAAAAATATAAGAAAAAGAAAATAATGGGTTAATTGTATTGTTTAAATTTTGCCCCTTTTTGTTGTTTTTCTTAGAGCAAAACAAAAAAAAAAAAAACCAGAGACTCCTTTGAATTTGTCAAAAACAAAAGTATAGAGTAAAGGTCCAGAAAAATAATGAAAAATATAAGTTGAACGTTGTGAAATTTTTTTAAAAAGAATCCAAAAAAAAAAAAAATTAAGTGAAAATGTTTTTGGATAAAAAAAAAATAAAATATTACTATGCTTTCCTTATACCGGAAATTAAAAATCAATTGTCCTTAAAATAAAGTAAAAAAAGAAAATAAAATAAAAAATTCAATAATAATTAATTTTATTTTTTTTTTTTATTTTAAATAATTCGATTTTTTATATAAATAAAATTTAAAATTTGATCTTGTAAGTGATTTGTAATAAATTGATAAAGGAAATTGTTACTGGGTGTATGATTACGTGGCATGTGATTGGTCTCTTGTATTTAAAATCGTCCCATAAAATGTATCTTGAGTTTAAGTTCCAGTACATGTACATTCTTAAGCTAGGTAATATTGATTAAGTTCTTGCAGAATGTAAATAATTAAAATTTTTAAAAAAAAGCTCGGATTTATCTTAATAGATTTCGAAAAACTCGGAAAACTTGTAATGGTAAAATATTTGTGAAATTAAATAATATTTAATTAACGAGAATATTCCAATGTTTTGTACTTAATTTTAGAATTTCGAAACAAACAGTAGTAAATTAACCAAGGCCTTTTCATAATAATAATGTTAAACTTTGAAGAATTCATTTTTGTTGTGTAGTTTTCTAATCTACCAAATTCGACTTATCAAATTATTGTTTGTAACTACAAAATAACTAATAACTTGCAAATTATTTTTTTCAATCGGTTACTTTGTAAACTTTATGCTTATCCATAAATCACTTGTTTTATTTTAAAAACTGACTATTTTAAAAATTTTGATTCAAAATAAAAATTAAAAACATTTGAAAAATAAAAAACGAATTAAAAATTTTTTGACCTTCCTCAGAATGTTACTGCTTGTTGCTGCTATAAATAATACTAGAATAAAATTTATTGCATGTCCTCGTCGAATTGTAACACTAAAAGTTCCAAAATTCAAACTATTTCTTTTTGACAGATAATAATTTCAATTTTTATGATTAACATTGCTACGAAAATCGGGATAACAACTTTACTCGATAATCTGAAATATCATAGCTAATTTGGCTGGTAGTTCCATCTTATTCTATAATATTATTAGTACTCGTACACCTATTACTTATAATATTATAGAACTATTATTAATAATATTTACTGTAGAAAAAATATAATAAATAAAATTTGATTAAAGCAAGTGGACATCTTGTTTTTAAAAACAATCTCTTACATTAATTAAATTATTCTAAATCATATACCAAAATATTTAAAAAATTGCATACATTTAGGATGGGGGGGGGGGGGGGAATTGAATGTTGTGTTATCATAATGCTCGAATTCAAAGGTTAATTGAGTGATTTCAGAAAAATAATTATATTTTTTGATGACATAGAATTTAGCTTTATTTTTTTGTACTTTATATATTTGGAAAAGCTTGCAGTTTGATAATATAAGGTACTAGAAAATCAAATTTTACAAAATTTCGAGTGGAGACAATTTGAGAACGGGTAGAGCTGGTAAAAAACGAAGTGCATTATTTATTAATATTTAAAATTCGTTAAAATTTCAGGCTGGCACAGCTTATGGTCTTGAAGAAAAAGAATATCAAAAATTAAAAAAAAAAAAAGCGAATTTTAGATAACAATAATTTTTTTAATAACAATACACGAGCATTTCGTTTTTTTGAAGTTTGGGTATAGTGTTCTGCAGTAGAAAAGGCCAGCCACTAAATTTCTGCGTTTGCAAAACATGAAAAATGTTTATGGTTTCGCTACAATAATTAGTTAAAAAATACCAATTTTTTGGGGTTTTTCGGGAAGCTATATTTTTTTAGAGGAGGCAGGTAAAAATTTCCTTCCACAGGAATAATTTTCTAGTAAAAATCTATCTACTTATGAATTTTCAGCTTTGTTTCTTATTCTACTCTAGAAGTTTTGTTAACATATCTACGGAATGACGTACGGTCGGATGTACAGAGTGAAACCAATAAACATTGTTTTTCAAAATTTTTTGGAAAAGTCCTAAAACTATAAATTCTCCTATATATACGCAACAAAATATCGGTTTTAGTAAACGATTTAAATATAATTATATTTCGTATCCGAATCTTGGCCTTAAAAATTATGAATGTGCTAATTTTCAATCACAATAATCGAAATTAAATTTACTAGTATACAAAACTTTTGATTTTATCGACTAAATTTTGACCTTTAAAATATTTCTCTTTTAATAAAAATTATTAAAATTTTTATTTAATTTATAATTTTCATCTTATTTATTTCTTTCTTTACAGGCTAGTTATATATATATATATCTATATGATTTAAACACCAAAAATATAGAATTTTAAATATTTGAGAATTAATTTAAAAGAAAAACGGAAACAACAAAAATGACAACAGAAACTTATCAGGATTTAACATTTGAACGTAAAGGTCAAAAAAGGCCTACACGACCAAAATTATTAAAATTAACAGAAGTAACAATGCCACATCGTAACCGGAAAAAAACTAAACTGAAGGTAAAATGGAAATTTTTTTTTTTTATTTTTGAATTTATTATAATTTTTATAATTTTCTGTTTATATTAATTTCAGTTTTGTTTTAGAGAAGAAATGAAAAAAAAAAAATTTTAAATCAAAATGGTAGCCTTATTTACTTTTTAATTAGTTTTTTGTTTTGTTTTTTTTTTTCCTGATTCAAATGAAACAAAATATAAATACGAAGTGAAAAGTATAAGAGAAAATTTTGTTTCATTTAATCTTCTTTTGTATAACCACAACTTACGCATACAAAAAAATTAAAAAAAAATATATATATAAGTATGTAATTTAATTATTTTTAAAAGATAAGAAAAATAAAACAAAACAAAAGAAAAATTCTGTACCTACTTTGACCTTCAAAACTTTTCAATATGCATAAAAAAAAACAAAATATCCTTGATCCTTTGTTAAAATTATCAGCCATGAACTTTCTATTGTCAACAAAAAAAAGACATATAAAAATAATTTATTATCGTATTTCTCTATACGTACATATATAGATTGGTATATACTGCGTATTCGCCTTATATTCGATAATGTATGTATAGATTTTGGATGCTTAAATATAAAATTCTTCATTGGTATACTACATAGTTGTTTTCTCTTTCGCACTTCATTTCTTTGATTCGTGGAAAATTTTTATTATAAACATGAAAGTTTTTGGAATATCTTCAGTATAATCAAAAAATCGAATAAAGATTTCTCGGTTTAATAAAAATAAATATAAAAATTCTGGAAATTAGTTTCTGAATTAAAATAAGAATCGATTTTCCTTTGATAATAAAATCCCTACATAGAAATACGTTATTATAAAAGTTATGGTATTTGGAATATACAATAAAAAGAACCTTGAAATAATATAGAGTAATGGGTTGCGATACATTAATAAATACATTATATTTTAAAATGAATGGGCTAAGTCTAGGCTCTTTTCAGTCAAAAAAAAATAAGTTTAATATAATAGAATGGATTCAGACTTTTAATGAATATTAAAAGAAAAATTTAGATTTTTCTCTGATTTTAATTAAGTGTAACATTCAGGCTTAAAAATGATTTCATATAGGTTCTTATTTTACTTTTTTATATAATTGATTTTCGCGTTCTCTCTCTTATGAAGAATTAATATGCTTTACAGGCACTATGAAATCGTTACAGGCACTACGAAATCGTTAATTTCACTACTTGAAAAAACTACTTAGCGAAAATTCAGCTGAAAAGGCCGAAATGCGGAAATAGCCTGCAAACGTCCGAAACAGCCCGGAAATGCCCGAAAAAGCCCGAAAATCTTGAAAAATATGTAACCACTAACCCAACTATTAAAAAAAACACACTAAAAAAAGATTTGACTGAAAAGGACGAAATGAGAAAATAGCCCGAAAAAAGCCGAAATAGCCCGAAAAGCCAGAAAAGCCCGAAAAAAACCGAAAAATGTTTTATTTCAATTTTAATAAAATTTTCACATCACCGTAAATAACATAAAATGCCTTGCAAAGGTCCGTAAGCCTTTTTGTTCGAATATTTCTTTAGGAATCGAATTTTTCCCATTGATTTCGATTTGAAGCCCCGTTCAATATCCCCACCTATTTTTATTCATTATACACAATAAGTTATATAAATTACTCTTAAAACGTAAATTAAAGAAATATTTATTTAAAGTTTGAACAGAAGCAATTGAATGCAACAGGGAGTTGATTTTCTGTTTACAATACAATTAGTGATTAAGGTAAAATTATAACACGAAATTCCAATTAACAAGTGTTAATGAAATCGATAAAATACCCATGTGAAATCCTTAAAAAGTCCACTATTACAAATCATAAGACCTACACAAGAAAGTATTTCAAATTTTTTATATAACAGAAAGTTTCATATGATTATAGATTTTTTAATGAAAGGCGTATCGTATTGAGTCTCCTAATACTCATTTATTCTCTTATTTGTAATATTGTTATTCTGAGTGAAATTCTAACCGTTTACTTCAAAAATAATTACTATTACCTATTATTTTTTTTACAAATAATTAGCGACTTGTACAAGAAATAACCAATTATTTCTTTATTTTATACAAAAATATTCATATAGTTTAGTCTCAAATGTAATCAGATCAAGTTAATGATAAATTACAACGACCCAACAAATATTTAACATTATAGTATTGGGTAGTTAAACAAATATATTATAAGATAGGTATGTACATTAAGCTCTATAAAATATATTATGTGGGTATCATTTGCAAATAAAAGGATCTTGTACAATATAAAATATATATGTGATGTAATATATAAAAGAGCATTCTGAAAATATTCTCTTGTCACCTATTCAACAACGGTTAACAGTTGTTTTCATATTTTCATATTATGCCTATTTTGTATATATAGAAATAAAAAATAGAAAATAACAAACCAAAATATATGGTTTTCTATTACACCTAAACTAAAAAATCATTATTCATTGTAGAAAAAAAAAATAGAACCAAAGCTGTAACATTAACTATGTTTTTTGTCTGTACCCGAAGATGTAAATATTTAATTTAATATGTAGATACATATTATATTATAAGGTATAATAAAAGGACAATGCTCATTTATCTTAAAGGTGGTGGTTATACTATAATATAATCCATTACAAATGTACATGGGTTTTCATGCCATAAAATAATTTTGAACAACCGTTTATAACAACCTCTCTCTGTCTCTCTCTGACGGTATACTAGGTAGAAGAAAAATGACTTGTTCATATTACGGAATGCTATGATACAATATTAATTTTTAGTATTGATTTATCTGTAGGATTGTTGGAATGTTAATAAAATGCAACAGAATAAGAAGAATTGGAAATAGAGTAACACAAACGATACCATTCTAGCCTTGTTCTTATATACCATATTTATTTCAAATTCATTAAGTCAATGAGCCTAATAACATAACGTTGCGTATACATCAACCGCCTACTGTCAAGCACACCATATCTGCAGAAAATACATGCTTCCCAATCAAAATGACAAAATCTACATAATTATTTTAAATATTGCATATAAGAAAACCTTTGAAATACAAGTCACTGATGCCGAGGCGGTAACTACATAACGGGTTATTTTGCTTATATCCCACCTTTCTATTCCCGAGAGATTTTTAATTTGTATATGCTTCATTTAGAATTAGGAGGCGTTTTTCAAGCTTTACTAGTTTTCCCCAGACTGGTACAATTTTATTACCAGTCATAAATTTTTTCATATAAATACTTGTGCAAATACCTTATAGTTGTTCGACTTTAATTTTATATTTCTTTGATTTTTTTTTGTATTTATATTCAGTAGTTTTATGTATAAACTATAAAGCATCATACAAATTCATACAATATTCACAATATATACTTATGTATATAGTAGAATAAATATAAATAAATAAAGTCTTTATATGTATATAATATTTTACAATCACAATGTACGCAAATTACAATGTGGCGCATACGTGATTTTTCTGCAACTAAACAAAAAAAAAAAAAAAAGAAATATTTATTTTACTTTTATTCTGTACCCTTAAAGGTAAAATTCAAGTTGAACTTTATATACCCATATTTATTATAAAATGTATACGAAACCGAGACGGGAGTAGAGAAAACAATATTCAAAAAATTTTAATTATAATAGCGAAGCGTAATAAAATCCTGGAAAAATTTTTATTGCAACATGTAGAAAATATTTCAAATAAATGTGGTAACAGCTTTAATGTGAATATCGTAAATAATTTTCTGCACTTAAATAATTTTTTTTTTATATATATATATATCTAGCTGTACACTATATAATATTTTTTCATGTTATTTATGATAGGAATTTATGAGTGTTACTAGAGTCCTTACAATTTTAATTCATAAAGAATTTTATAATTTTTTTTGTATTTTTTTTTTTTATTTTTGTTAGAATTTTATGAGTATATAAAGTGTAATTAATTTAATTATTAAAATTATTGGTAGAAATAATATAGTTTTTGTATATATTTTATACAAGAGGGAGAAAAATGATTTATTTAAGTGATACCTGCGAATTTATGATCAAATTGTATAAAATATTTTATTCATAATTGTCTGATTATAATTATTATAAAGGATATCCAACTGTGTCCCTTCAAAAGTCCAAATATACAAAATAGATATAGTGAATTTTGATTTAATAACTAAAGTAAAGTGAGTCGTGCTAAAATAATGCAACAAAACCACCCGAAATATTTTACAACACAGTTGCGATTTTAAAAATTTTCATTACGCTTGATTTAAATTGTAAATTTGTATGGAGTTACCAATTTTAAGGGTATTTAAAAAAATCCTTTAAAAAATACTAATTTTCATTTTCTATAAGCATTTTATCAGAAAAACTGTACAACATATAAATAAATACATAAATACTGATTTTTTTTACATTTTAAGAAATTATTAGAGTACTTTGGGGGAAAAAAGCAATTGTTTGCTTCCATGTGCCCACCTGTTTACAAAATTAATACAAAATCCAAAAAAATTGTGATTTGGTATAAAAATTGAATATACTAGTGAACAAATTATAATAAAATGAGTACGCATTGTTCTCGCCGCCTTAGTTATAGTTTTCTAACTTGACAACTTCTCCAAAATCAAATTGTGGTAGAAAACACGACGTAAAAATGTAATTTAATATTTTACTTAAGTAAATAACAATTTAGTTAATTCTTCATTCTAGAATTAACACGTTGAAGTATTTTACAAGAAATATGTTAAAGAAACTAGTGCCATTTTACAAAACACAAACGTTTAATCAACTGCACTATCAAACTTTTAGCTTAACTTGAAATTTAAAATTTCAACGAACGTTAAAGCACAATTTTACTGTCATGTCAAACATTTTTATTTTATGTACACTTTAAATCTACTTATAATATTTTAATTTTTTTTTTCTACATATACAGGGTAAACCGATAACGTAGTATAACCCCCCATGGTTAGAAAGGGCCGAATAAAGGGCAATTGAAAGCTGAAAAGCTGCTAAATATTTCTAAAAAATAGTGTGCGATTCGAGGAATCACTTAAAGAGTTATTGACGAATAAGTAAAAAAAAAAAAGAAAAAAAAATGTCTGATTGTTCACAAAGTGACCAAATACTCAAAAATTTGCCCTATTGAATTTTTTTCTCAAAAATTTGTAAGATTTTGAGTTTTTTCTTCAAATTACTTCTCAATAATTTTTCTTGTGCGATGTCCCATTTCCGACATATTTCGGTTCCAAACTCGACTGTTACAGGTTACAATTTATCTTTGATTTAGTTTATTTTGGTTATATCCCACCTTTCTATTTCTATTCCCGAGAGATTATACCACATTACAGGTTCACTCTGTACAATGATATTCAATAAAATTTACTGTTTCTGAAGCATTTTTCGTTAAAAAAGACAATATGTATTACAAACAAATGTAAAAAAATTTGCTTTAAAAAATTGCTACAATTTTCACCACACTCTGCATATATCTACATAATAGTACTCCAGTATATTGTACATTTATAACTACTAAAGTAATATCTAATAAAAATTCTAATGAATGCAGGTTTTATATTGAAATTGTTTATTCAAATGTAAAAAAGCAAAAAAAGGAAAAGGAACAAAAGAAAAGGATAAAAATATAAAATTGAACGGTTATTGATTTTCTATTCTCTTCATAAACTAAAATTTTATAACTAAAAAAGTTACAGACTTTACACAAAACACAAAAAAAAAAATCAAACCATAAAAATTTTTCATACAGTTATACAAAAACGAATTATGAAAGTTAGATAAATTTGATTTGTTCAAAAAAAAAAAAGAAATTCTTTTTTCTTTTTTAAGAATTTTCAATAATAGTTTTGCATTTTATTCAATGAACGTGCTTTTGCTGTTGGGATTCCTTTTTTCTTAATAACTGCATACAGTTTTTTTATTAAACAATCATTGTTTTGAAAATTCAGTGGAAAAAAGTATTATACAAAATTTTAAATCTACAATAGTATTTAGGATATTTTATTGAAATTGAATTTGAATTGAATTATACAGGATGTTTTATGTAAAACGTAAAAAAAATTTATTACTTCAGATCAAATTTTTTCAGGGAAAATTGAAAAATGAGGCAATTTCAATTATACTATTAAATACAAGGAGTCACATGAAAACGAAAAAGGAGGTGCAATAAAGCTCATCCAAAAATATTTTTGCTACAGCCTGTTATCATATTTTATTAGTCGCATTAGTAAAAGTCGTAGTTCTATGACACATAATATGGTTTTTCATTTTAAGATAATCAGCTCAAATGGAAAGAACATGTAAAGAAGAAAAGAAAAGAATTAGAAAACAGATATAGAATAAAGTATTGACTTCTAGCTCGTAGGTCTGAATCGTCAACATACAATAAACTGTTGATATATTACCAAATGATAAAGATTATACGAAAGTATGACTTGCAGCTGTGAGGTTTTGCCAAGCAAATTCACATCAAATAAATACAAACTTTCCAGAACAAAGTCCATCATAATATATGGTGGGTACTCCATGGTATGTGCGCAATATTGATATTCATAGAGATCTGCGGTTGTCCGCCAAGTAAGTGAGCAAATAAGGAGTTATGGCATGAGATATAGGGCGTGTTTGGAACAGCATGTAAATGTTGAGGCCTTCTGCCTTATAGGTGAGAGGGTTTGCACAAAAAAACTGAAACGAATGAGACTTCCTAAAGTGCTGTGACAGGACTTCCGTGCCTACTTACATAGGATATAGACACAAAGAAACGATGGAGCAACACTAATGATTAATTAGTTTGACTATAGTTTTAGGAGTTTATAACCATTCAGATGCGTTTAAGGTTGGGTTAAAGTCCTTACTATTAATAGGTCTGAGCAAAAAACTTTAAAACCGACACCAATTTACAAAAGCTTACGAAAATTAATCAAAATCAAATTCATCCAAACTCATCAAAAAGTTTCAATGAAAGTTAATAGTTCGGAAGCAATAGTATCCTAAAGTTAGACTAAGACTATTTGATGAAAACTATTAACATTATTTTTGATCCCAAAATTATCTTGTTTCTTTTTGAAAAATAACTAGACCGTCTCAAGTATTTCAATTAACAAAATTCTGATTAAACTTTTAAATAAACTATACCGAACATTTTAATAACAATCATCAAAACCAGAAAATGATTTTATAATAATTCTCATTGGATAATTGAATTTTCTACAAAATTTTAATAACTTCTGTTTTCTTTCAAATTAAATTTTCTTAAAACTCAAATTTCTTCTTACAAACAAAACTTGAATAGAGAAATTTTTTTTATGAAATTCAAAGATTTTGTTTTTCAAAATTATCATAAAATTACTATAGAAAGTCTTAGATAGTAAATTGTACGCGTTGATGTATATTTTAAATTTACTATAAACAACTTAATATATCAAAAGCATTCTCAATATACTATCAGCTCTATAGTGTTATTGCTTCTATTGTTGGTAATATTAAAAAGGATTATCTTAATTTATTCAGTTTTAAAGACTTTTTATATCTTATACTTTATACACACAACGTAAAATATTTTTTATAATTTTTTGTTGCTGCTATTATAAAATAGCAGCCATAACAAAGGAGACAAAGATTTTTCTTTTGCTATTGAAATCCTTATTTAAATGGTCCCATCTGGTCTCTAATATAATTCTATTAAGAATAGGAAGAAGAAAATTTTTTTTTATAATTTAAGTGTGATTTTGATGAAAATATTTCTACATTTTCTACATAAATAATTTTTACAAAATAATACTTTTGAAACTATACACACAATAAAACATACGACTACAAATTGTTTGTAAAATAAATAAGCAAGACAAACTAGTGCCATGTACATATGTTATTGAAACGTGTAATTTAATTCTTGTAATATTATAGAATTTCTAGTATTCTAAATAATTTTAAAGTCAGAATTAAGCGAATAGAAACTCCCTTGCATTCTTCTTTTCTTCAAAAATTTACTTTACTCCTCATCCTTAATTCTTATGCAAATAATTGAACTAATACTTTATATTTTCAATATTAAAATAAATTCTTACATTCTTATTCTTGTCTCCATTACAGGTTAAAGAACGATCACAATCAAACGTTCGTGATCGATTTTACGATGATCCAGCATATACGGATGATATCAGTCACTTAGCTCTTCCATTGCGACGTAATAGTGGACCAGATAAAATAGAAGCATCTGGTACTTTTAATAAACGTAAAACAACAAAAGATCAAATAAATATACAGCCATATCCTAAGCCGAGAGCAGCAGAACCACTTCCATATCCGCGGGAACATGAACGTGATGCTGGTTCTAGTAGTTCTGAAAATGGATCACATGAATATGATAAAATAAAACATGGTAAATCTTTAGAAATATCTCATTCAAAAATGGAACATAGTCCAAAGAAACGAGAAAAACGTGATAGATCTGCCAAACAAAAACGTAATTTAAGTTTGGATAACAATTTATCAAATAGTTTGCGACGTTCCTTAGAAAGATCAGAACCAATCTTAAAAATGGCTAGTATCGATCGAAAATCTTTAAAACAACAACCAAAATCATTAGTTCAGCGACAAAATGCTTCAGAATCATGGAATTCATGTATTGCAGTCACTTCAGATTCGTCAAAGGCAACAGAAAATGATGAATCATTTTCGGGAAGTGTTCGAAAAGAATCAAAAATGCAAATTGGAAAGAAATTTTTAAGAGGTGAAATTGGTATAAAAAGTTTTAATTATTACTTACTCAAAGAGGGCTTGAAATCATCAAAAAAATTTGTTGAAAAGAAAAGAAATTCTTTAACTTGGGGCAGTGATTCTAAAAAATTGCAAAGCCGAAGTGAAGAAAATATATATGAAGAAATATTTTTTGTTGATAAAAGTTCTGATAATGATGATCATCATAATAAATATGATGATTGTGAGCTTTGTATGCAAGAATGCAATAAAGAGAATTGTGAATATTGTTTTCAAGATAAAAAATCCAAAAAACATTATTTTGGTAGTTTGGGTCGTCATGATAAGCATCCCGTTTATTCTGATGCCAGAAAATCTGAAGTTATTGATGATTTGGCTCCAAGTATACCAGTAAATGCACATATATTGGAATTTCAATCATACAATCCAAATAACCCTGGTGTTTACAAAATTGAAACAACTCCGGTTGCATTTACAAGTGATTACAATCCAATAAGTAGTTTTGAACCGATTTCAAATACAACATCAATAATTGAGACAAATATAAAACAGATTTCCAATTATGCGCGGCCATCAATACAATCTCAATATCAACAAACATTTCCATCTCAATCTATATCAGCTTATCAAGTTCCAAGCATACAACAACAACAGCAGCAGCAACAACTCGTTACACAGCAACTTCAACAACAACAGTTACGTAGAGTGAGAGATACTCGACCAAATATACAAACCACAACCACAAGAATAACTGCAAAATCTTCATCTTCAAGCGATTCACTACATCATAAATATGCTAGTAAATCTGAGCATCAACCAATAGCTATAACTACTATTGATTCTTACGAATATAATCCAAGATTAGTTTACGGAAGTAATAGTAGAATTGGAAATGGAGGCAATTTACAACCCAGTCAAATTATATATCAAGAACCAAAAATCTATAAAAGTGATTCAAAAGCGTCAATTTTGAGTGAATACTCTATACGTAGTGAAAGCTCGAATCGCAATTTCCGCTGTGGTGAAGTTAGTGATTCAAGTTTAGGAGACTCAATGTTTAGTTATTCGACACAGCAAAAAAAATATTTTGGCAGTTCTGAAAGTTGTCGATTCGGTTTCGAATGTAGACGTTGTAGTTTAGATGGTGAAAAATGTAGTTTCTCTGATACATGCCGCTATGAATGTCGGAATTGTGATTGCTCTTCAAGTTATTTTTCTTCCGATTTCGATGATCTTAACTACAATAATCCACATAGACGAAGCCTTAATGTTGGTAGTGGAAATACAAGTCATTCCAACCAACGTTCCTATGAATACTTCAATGATGCATTCGATGTAAAACAAAGCAAATATGCACAAGATTTCTTTAAGCATGTCAATGATGTTAAACGAAGTATTTATCAAGCTGAGATCGAAGGCAGCTCGAACAAATTTTTGGGAAATAATAATGATCCATTTGCTCCAATACCATCTTCAAAACCTAGTGAAATGAAGAAATCATTAACAAGCGATATGTACGGTAGGCAGGAGAAGCCAGCTTATCATTATCCCGGAGAAATAATTTTAAATAGGAATACTTCTGGTGGTAGTCCTTACAAATCATCAACAATTTCACATTATGCTTCAACACAAATATTTGCTCCATCTTCAAGTTCATACGTAAATTCATCATCGCGTTCTAAAGATTCTGGTGATTATAAATATAAAAGCACAACTAAAGATTATCGTTCTATGCAAAATAATATTTCAAAAAGTTTAGACGAACAAGAAAATTCTATATCATCACTTAAACGAATTTCTAAATCAAAACAATCTGAATATAATGACAGAAATTTAAATGATCCGGAAGAAAAATATAAATCATTAACTAAGAGTTTGGATAAAAAATTATTGTATGCTCAACCGTACAGGAAGACTAAAAAAGATTTACAAGAAGATGAAATAATTCATGATAGAAAAACGACAACAGGTGCTATTCCAAAATTACAATCAAATGAAAGTCCAATAATGCATCATCGTACACAACAGCAATCCAAATCGCATTACGCAGCGACTGTTAATAATAAGATTTCGGAATATGAAACACCTTTTACTAAAACCCCATCTATAAAGTATGCTGAACCAAAATCTCAAACAAATTATGTTAGTCCACGGAAGTCATCACGAAGTATTGAGAGAAGTAGTGGAAAGACTACCAAAGAAGGAAAAATTTATCAAAAATCTAATATAAAATCTACTGCTGAGATTGGTCGTTATTTAGAAAAAAGTCAAAAAGAGGGGCAAAGACGAGCTAAAAGTCTTGAGAAGACTTTACAAAAAACACCATCGGATGAAAGAAATTATAATGAAATTTCTAATAAACAGACAAATAGAAATATAGAAGAATCAACATTGACAAAGAATAAAACAGATAAAAAAGATAAATCTGAAAAAATTTATAAGGATAATTCAAGTCATTCAAATCAGAAAAAGGGAGCACCAAAATTAATTAAAACTACTCAATCATTAAATGAAGTTGTAAGAGATGATGTACTTGATGATGAAGATGATGATGTTTTCTATGATGCTAAAGGTGAAGAAAGTGTTTCTAGATCCAATTCTATGAGAAAGGTAATTAAAATTTCCTTCTTTTTTTTTTGTTAATGTCTCCATTAATTATAACTTTTGATAATTCCTTTCTAGAATTTAAAAGCTGTTTCACCACCATGTGTCCCACCAACATCACCTATAAACTCATCTAACGCAGATATAAATAAAAACACTATTACCAATGATAAAAATTCGTCTAATAAAAAAGATTTTAAAAATTCTCCGACTAATCAAAATTTGTCGATATCGAAAAATAAAACCGAAAAACAAGATCAAAATGAGACACAAGAATCTACAATTTCAAAATTACCAATAAGTTCAACACAAAAAATCAATACGCCAAATACTAATTTAGAATTAAATGAAACAAAAAAGGAAAAGCCCTTGAAAGATAATGAAAATTTAAATACTACCACTACAACAGCAACAACAGTAACAAAATCACTTGATAATAAAGAACAGACACCAAATGAAGAAAATATTAATGAAAGAAAATTGCAACAATTATCAATTAAGGATAATTCTCTTAAAGATACTCTAAAATATGCTCAAGATGAAATTTTATCACCAAAAGATAAAAGTTTAAACGAAAATACTAAAAATATCAAGGAATGTAATAAATCTTCGAAAAAAGGTAAATACTGTTAGCAAGAGGACACATTCAAGTTTTAATATTTCTTTTTAAGAATATTCTTTGTATACGACAAAATGTCCATTAAATTTCCTGAAAGCCAGTTTTCTTCAATATTAGTTAACAGTTCCATCGTAATTCTTCAGACTATCGCCACATGTCCCAAAGCACATTTTGAAGTTAATATACTCTAATGACATATTTTCTCATTAATTGGCAAAAAAATTCAATAATCGCTATAAGTAAAACGATTTTACAGCATAATTTTTGCCAAAGAACTTTAATTCTCTCTCAATTTCTGTACATACACTTTCACTTAATAAAAAAACTAGTATTGTGGAATTTCTATTTAATGATATACTTGCAGACAGCAGGCCCCAAGTTGGTTGGCAATAGAGAAGGAAAAACCAAAAACACAGCTACTGTCAAACAAATTGTTCACTTAATTTAAGATTTGCATGACATAAAATTTTCATCTTAAAAATATTCTACTGCCACATATAAAAATTTCATAAATATTTTCAGTTTCAAATCAACACCAAAAATTTAATAATATTTTTTTTGTTATTTTTTAAACTTAAAAATAACGCAAAGAATACGTGGCTCTCCTCAATAAAATTTAATCAAAATTTAAATAAATAACCAGCAGTTAAAGTACTAATGCATTAATAATAAAAAAAAAGTATAAGTATCCGTATTTTCCCTTAATTACTTTCAATTACTCTTAAACTTTTAGTATTCTTTTTCAATTTATAAATAATTATCCAATTTCCATTAACAGAAAAAACTGAAAATGAAGAAAATTCTGAACAAAAAAGCTCTTCCAATAATATTAATTCTGTACAACAACACCAACAACCGAAATCAACTAAGGATAGGTCAATATCTGAAAAAGCCCAACAACAACAGCAACTACAACAGAATAATGTATCTGGTAAAAATATTAAACAGAGTCCACAAAAAATTCATCAAATAAATAATGAACAAAATGTTGATAAACAAATTGATACACAAAAAAATCATAATGATAAAGAAAAAATTCCAAATAATGATAAAAATCAACAAAATATTTCAACAATGAATACAAATATAGAAAATGTTGCTAAACAAGAAAATGAAAATATTTCTATACAAAATAATAATACTATAACTACAACAATAACAACAATTATATCAACAGATAATAATTTACCATCAACTTCAAAAATTGAATCAACAATAGAAAAAATTCCATTAAAACAAATTGAAGTTGATATAAAATCATTACCGCCACCACCATCACCAATTATTACAACAGATGAAATCAAAGAAGTATCAGATACAAATAATGTTAATAATGATAATAATATTGATACAAATTCTGTTACTATTAATACAAATGCTACAATAGCATCAGCTACTATTACTGTTACTGATACTGCTAATATTACTGCTACTAATGATAATAATACTACAACTACATCAATTATTGGTACTTCTGTTGCTATTGCTGCTACTGCTGCTGCATCTACTGTTATTCCTATTGCTGTTACAACAAATTTGTCTGCAGATGAAGAATTTAGTTTAACGAAGACTACCACCGCTGTCGGTAATAAATTAAACAGGTACGCGTAAATGAAATGAAATATATATAGATATTTTTTTTTTTTTTTGTTTTTGAAAATGTTTGTTTGCATTTTGTAATGTTTTTATTTTGTTTATTTTTTTTTTTTGCAATAATATACTGTTGAATTAAAATATATTATTGTTAAAGCACTGGAGTAGTGTAAAAATTCGAAAAATATTATGTTTATTGCCGCCATAATAATTACATAGTGATTTTAAAAAAATTTAATTAAATTATAGAGAAGTTTTTTGTATAAATTTTTTATTATTAATGAATTTTACCAAATTGTTGATGGTCATAATGTTTCTTAAAAAAATTCTGAAATAAATTAAAAAATTTTTAATAATATTTTTCTAAAAATCTACTACTAAAAATTGCTTCGAACGCCGAAATACGAATTTTGCCGCTTTTATTAATTTGTGAATTTTTTTTTTTAACTCTAGATGAAATTGAAACCCAGAACTACACGAAAAGGGAAACAAAAATTTTAAAATTTTTCATACTCCTACATTTTTTTTAAGTTCTTTTTTGGTTACTAAACGAAAAATAAGAGTTAAGCATTGTGTGTTGCAAAAAAATGTAAAAAACAATTCTTGAATTGAAAAAGAATTTTTATTTGTTTGTTTGTTTGATTGTTTTTTCTTGTTATTTAGTTCAATTACCTGCAGTGTACAGGTGAAAAAGAATCAAAATCAAATCAAAATAATTTTGTAACGAAGCTATATACGAGTAATATACAAGTGATTGTGTTGCTATAGAAGAACACAATAGAAAATTTTGTTCTCAAATTAAAAAAAAAAAAAAAAAAAGAAATTCTATTTTAAAGTTGAAAAGCAGGAAAACTCACAAAAAAAAAAAAGAAAAAGTTGAAAAATTGCATTTTATTTTTTTCATTCTTGTTAATTTTATTTTTATGTTTTTCTTATTCAGTTTGTTTCATTGTTAATGAATTAATTTTGCAATACGAAAAAAAATTTTTTACAAAACAAAAAATAGAGAAAAAAAAAACGGAAACACAATAACTAAAAACAAACTATAATAGTTACCGTCTGCATACTTGCCTGTGTATACGGAAAACAAAACTCGGAACAAAAAAAAAAAAAAACAAAAAAAAATTAAAAACAAAACAAAAAATATGAAAAAAGAGAAGGACTAGGAAAGGAAATGTTAAAAATGCAAGAAAAAAAAATTGTTTTTTCATTTTTTACACAAGCGTGCGGTTAAAAAAAAATCAAACTGAAAAACAGCACACAACACAACATCAGTAGTGGTTTTAATTAAAAAAATAATATATAAATTGTATTATATACTATATATATATATATATATATATATATATATATATATTGTGTATATTATGTACAAATTTAATAATATAAGAGAAAACCAAAAAAAAAAAAATTAGTCCTTTTTTTGCGGAAAAACTAAAATTAGTGAATTTTTTTTTTCCCAAATTTTCAATTTAATTCCAAAATTAGAATTACAACAAAAAAAAAAAAGAATAAAAAAATTTGACCCCTTTAATTTTAAAATAAAAAATTGCAAACTTTAAAATTTTAGAACAAAAAAAAAATTTTTTTTTTGTCTGTGTAATGTTTCTGGTACATACACACAATTTATGCACACACGAAAATTTTTTTTTTTATTTTATCTAATTAAAAGGTTAATTTCTTTTTGAATGGGCTACTAATGGAAAATTCATTCATTTTTTTTCTTTGTATTTTTTTGTTTTACATTTTTTATTATTTTTAATTTTTTCATATACACGCGCACGTATTTTCATATATATATATACTGTTAAATTCACCTTCTTTATTGCGTTTTTTATACACGCGCTTAAATCTTACTGTTAAATTCACTTACCCTTTTTTGTTTTTTTTTTTTGTAATTTTTATAATATTATTTAATAATATCTTTAATAATTACAATAATATATGAATATAGGCATGTTATAATATTCATATAGGTATCTGATATATATAGGATTAATATGGTGACCATATGATTTTTATATGAAATAATCTTTAAATTTAATTTTAAAATGTTAAATATTTGCTTATACACCAATTTCTGTTAATTATGATTCCTTATCTAATTTAAATAAATTAATTTTAAATGCAAGAGTATACCATAAGTTAATTTTGGTAATATTATACAACATTTTCTTCTTCACATATTTAATTTGACTACTTAGTCATTTTATTAACAAAATTTTGAAATTTTTATTTGAAAATTATCAAAATCGAGGCCGTATTTAATTCTTTTTAATTAATCAATTAAAAAAAAATTTCAAAAATTTCTGTTGAACCAAGAGTCGAAATACTAACAAAATAATATACAAAAAAGAAAAGACCATTATTTAACAATTTCGTTCCTCTAATTGACTACTTAAAAATCATAAAAAAATAATATACTATAACTGTTAATCTTAAAGGAAGCCCGAATTATATGAAATTTCTGTTTAGATTTCTCAATATATTAAATAATTGAAATTAAATCATCAGAGTTATAAAGATTTTCTTATAATATATCTATAATTATAATTCAGGATACTTATAAAAAACTAAATTTTAATAGAATTTTTATATTCACCTACAATAATCTATATATAAATACACCTACATACACTATATTATATAAGAAATAATACAATTAAGTTTTTGAGCCTCTGTAGCTCAGTTGATAGAGCGTCCGCCTAGAAAGCGAAGAGAAAAGTTTTTTTAATGAAAAAATTTTTCTGCCTTTAACTCGTTCCTTTGATTACGTCATCCATCTGTTCTGCAGTTGCATGAAGAAATTTCCATTAAGATAAAATACAATTAAATTTTTCTTTAAAATAGAACACTTGAGAACTATATAGTTCTTGAACAGATTTACATTTAAAAGCATGTTTTCATGAAAATAACCGATTATCTGCCTCTAACTTGCTTAATTTCAAATTAACTTGTCTATTTAAAATAAAAAAATTATAAAAATTAATTACACCTATAACAATTATTTAAAACATTGTTTACTCATTGCGTCATAAGAGTAAACAAAAATTTTTATTATATGAATAATGAATTAATTTAATATCGTAAATTTTACGATAAACATTCATAATTTTCTATAATATTTTACATGTACTCACAAAATACTTAAAAAATTTCTTCCTTCAAACTAGATACAAACAAATACATGATATGCCATATGGTCACCTTTAATTAATAAGCAAAAAAAAATTATAGAAAAAAAAATTTGTACTCGCATAATATTCTTAAATACAAATTAACTTTACCGTTAATAAATTCAACAGAATAGAAGTTTTTGTTTGTTACAACGAAAATTCATGTTTTCTTTTTCTCTTTTTATTTTTTTTTTTATTTTATTTTGTTCTCCTTTTGCGTTATAATTTTGCGTGTTTTTTTTCTTCTTCTTCTTCTTCTTATTGTATAATAAATATGTTTTTCTTTCTTTTTTTCTTTTTCTGTTTTGTTATGATAATGTTTTTGTGTAATTGTATTTGTTCAAAAAAATATAACAAAATTATTACATAAAAATTACATACTACTTATAATATAATATAAAATGAATTTATGTGTAGGTATCTACACCATATTATATTGCAAAAAAAGCAAAATAACGCTGTATAACAGTAGAGTAATTTAAGGAAAAGAAAAAAAATATAAAATATAATATAAAATTTATTGGACATTTTTTATTTTTTTTTTTGGTGTTTTTTTGTTAAGGAGAGTTTGAAACCAGAAACGCCATATTTATTCAGTCAAGTTGGTTTTCGGTTTTTTTACCCGAATTATTTTCATCCTTGCTTTAAAAAAAAATTTTGTTCTAACTTAAAAATACGAGAAAATTGTGAAAGAAAAACATATATTTTGGAGAATTAAAAAGGAAACAGAGAACAAAAAAAAAAATTTATTTTTGCCTTATTTTTTATTCAAAAATTTCACACAGTATACGCATAATATGCATATATATACATATAAACATAATGATATACAAATATATACATGATTATCATATTATTATAATATTATTTTCCATATTATATACTTATTATTTACCTTTATTTTGTAATGTATATGTATATCATACAGGTATTATTGATATTTTTCTAAGTTAAGAGTGAAAATATAAATGATGCGTGAATAATATAACTTTATATATCATATATATACGTACATATATTATATATAATATATATACTAAATAGAAAATAAAATAAAAAAATATATATATGCATATGTAAATATGTAATTTTCAAATGATATACATACATTTATGTATTTTAAATAATTAATGTATATATAAGTATGTACTTAATAATATGTACATATTATATATTCTGGTATTAGTGTATAATTTTGTGTGTATGTATTTATAGTGAAAAGTAAATACGAACGAAAAAATTTTGAAATTTTTTATTTTATTTCCTTTTGTTGATTTTCAATTTTTTGTTTTTTTTTTTTGTTTTTCTTGCAAGGTCAAGGATAACAAAAATTTTACAGTTTAATTTTTTTGCTTTTTTTTTGTTTTTCTCTTTCATCTTGTTTTTTGTTTTTATATTTTATTTTATAATATGAGAAAAAAATCAGGTGTTAAAAATATTTTAATAAAGTTAATTGGTTTTTATTTTGTTCTCTTAAGAACAAAATAAAAAAAAAAATATTTTAAGAGAATTATAAAATTTAAAAAATTAAATGAAAATAAAAACAAAAATAAAAAAAATTTTTTTTTTTTTGAGTATATCTAAATTTATGTGTATATAAAGCATATTATATATAATAATTATATATAATAATATAAGGCTATTTATTTAATAAATTTTTTCTCTTATTTACTTACAAATTTTTTTTAATTAATTTAGAATTTTACTTAATATTTCTGTAATTTTTTCTTTTATATTTTTAAAAATTTTTTTTTGAACTAAAAAAAAATTATAGCTGTGTAGTACAATTGGAAAAAAAAAGTGTTAAAATCTTGAAAATAAGTGAAAATTTATTAAAACAAAATTATTAATTAAAAGAAGTTCAGAAGATCTGAAAAAAGTTGAAGAAAACTAATAATTTTCATGAGAATTTATTAAGAAAAGAAAAATAATTTTGGTTTAGGAATAAATGGTATTTGAGAGGAAATTCTAGATGAGTGCTGTTTAAAAATATTTAAGTAAATAAATGGTACTTGTTGATTTTTTTTTGTTGAAATTAACATTTTTAATAAAAAAAAAAAAAAATTATAAATGTTAATCTAAGAAAATAGAAAAAAAAAGGTTTGTGTCTATACTAGTAAAATTTTTTTTATATAACTACTTAATTTATTAAAATGTTAATCGAATATTATGTATAACACTTTTTTTTTAATAAAATTTTTTGTTACAATTCATAATAAAATATTAAGTCAAATTTTATAATTCGATATTTTGAGGCATGAAATGAGAGATGTCTGTTTGTTATGACGTTGTTTTGAGTAAATCTTATATTTGAAAAAATATTTACTTACCTTGTGCTAATCTAACAATAAAATAAGAAGGACACCTTCCTTGTAACAACATAATAATAAGTTAAGGGGTGTAAGTGATTTATTGATTTTTTTTTTGCTTAGAAAATTCTTGTTATTATACGACAATATTTATGGTTATATAAAAAAAATTTTTTTTTCTCAGTGTACCAATATTAGCAAAGTGGCAATATTGACTAAATCGGAGAGATGAGATTTGAAGAAGCAATTGTGTATTAAATGTGTTATTATTTAACTAAGGTCTACTTTCATTTAGAATTTTCGTAATATAATATAAAAATTGTAAAGTTTTTAATTTTTTTGACAAGTTTCTATGCAAGTTATTCTCATAGTGTTCAGAAATAAAGATCGCAAATTATCAACTCTTATTTTACAATCAATATAATAAAGGAGATTTTGGAATTTTTCAAATACTTGAAATTTTTCGTCATGGTTAATTTTGCTGCTTTATGCTTTGAAATAATATTTAGTTAAGTAAAATATGTATTGAAATATCAAGAACCATAGTTCGTGGTTTGTTTTCAATTAACAATTTACTATAGATTCAAAAATATATCCAAATTCGAATTCTTTTTAAAATTTTTAAATATCTACTAATTTTATATCAGTAATTATGCAAATTTTCCAAAAAAAATCTTATATTCATCCGTATCGTCTTCTGCGTTAACAAAATTTTATTCCAAAATATTGTGCATCACAAAATTTATTAGATTCTTTTGCATAAATTTCAAACCTATTGAAAATATTTAAACTATTTAATAATTTTAAAATTCAACTGTTTCTAAAATTTAATGCAATTTCAAATTAAATTCCTAGATGCTCTAGAATTTAAATAAATTCTTAAAGCAATTCAATTTAATTACCTTTCTCAGTTTACTAAAATTTCTTATTTAATTAGTTTACATTAATATTATAATTATCATACTTGGGTGGATATTATTCACTTTAAAAGATTTGGGGTATGCTTATATACTTAATTTATTTATGTAAATTCAGAAACAATTAAGTGCTACTTGGAAAATTATTATTTTTATAAAGACATTAATTATTGTCTTTAAACTGTTTAATAACCTTTTGTATTATGGAATTTTAAGGTGGCTAATTAAAATAATAAAAATTTAAGAAATATACATAGATATAGAAAAATTTTTTTATTCATATCATTGGGTATAAAATAATCATGACAATATAGTGTGAAATATTGCTAAAATATTATAAGAAGCTTTATCAGAACTACAACATTCGGAAATATAATATTCTGGGGAAGCCTAGTTATTATTATGTTTCGGCATTTATTTACATAATGATTAAGGACTTTGACTTAAAATAACGAAAAGGATCTAGGACATTAATAATTAATTCAAAAATTGAAATTTTAATAAACTTGTGGTTGACAATGTGTCGCTAATAAAAATCAAACAATTCTGGAAAAATCATTATAGCATTTTATTTAGACATAAATCTTTGTAAAATTAGGCCAAACCCTACATTTATTTGCAATTTACATCTTCACTTCAAGATTTTCCTTACAATGTAGTTGTTTCGACCAATATTTTTTCATTAAAAATTTTAGCAGTTCTCTTAATAATAAACACTTATGGAATACCAATTGCATTTTTTGTTCAATATTAACGTACGTCATATTTCCAGTTTCCTTTTTAATCAATGATTAAAAATGAACCAATATCAATGTTGTGGCCAACTTTAGAATTTTTAAATATTGATTTTCCATTTTGCCTTTAATAATAAAAAAAATATAATATAAAATTTTTTAATTTTTTTTTTATTCCCACAAGGATTTTTCAATAAATATAAATAAAAATAAAATAAAAACGAGAAAAAACATATTTGACCTTGTCAACTCTGGGATACCCGTACGAATTTGTTATCCTATGTGCGAATAATTAATATGCCATAACTAACTATGGGACAGACTATGACTATTTCAATACTATAGCTTTTGTAGTTTTTGAGATATACCCAAATTAATTTTGAAGTTGTATGGCAGCTGCCCGAACCGGTACCCCGATCATGTCCAATTTGCATAAGGTTCTGGCACTTACCACAATTAATTATTTGTGAAAATTTAGTGAAGTTAGCTCAATTAGTTTTTGAGTTATCGCTGGGACGGAAGGACGGACGGACAGACAAAGCTAAATCGACTCAGAATTCGACGCTTATCAAAAACATACACTTGATTCTATATTATCTAAGACCGTTATTTCTTAGCGTTACAAACGGTAAGGCAAATTTAGTATACCCTTCGAACATACGTTCGTATGGGTATAAAAATACATAAGTATTGAACAAATAATTAAGTATTATTATTAATTGTTTTCATAAATAAATAATTTTAAATCAAAATTTTAAATTATAAAATTATTTATTTGACCGAAATGAGCTAAATTAAAAACACAATATAAATAATAATAATAATATTATATTTACACATAAATATTTTATATAAATATTGTTTCTGTGGTATTAAGGGAAAACCAGCTATAGTTTAATTGAGTGTGTTTCGAGCAGTTTTAGTTAAATTAAAGTTTAAATTCAAAACACAATGTTATTCTCTATAAACTTCTATTTTTGGTATAATTTCTAAAATTTTCTCTATATTTGCTTTGATGTTATTTAAATAGCTTTAAGTAGTTTGATCTATTTTATTGGTAACAAGTTCATAGTTCTTGAGTTTACTTTCGTTTACCTTTGATTTGATTATTGCTTACATTTAAATCTCAAAAAAAATTGAATATAATATTCGAAATTGCTTCTGTGGCTTACAAAATCGCATTATCTAAAACCAAATTTCTGTATTCTATTTGAATATTTAAACATATTGTATTGCTGTGTAATGTTAATCTGTCTGGACTTGAGCAGAATATATTTGCTAAATTTTTGTTATTTCCAAAACTAAATATGAACTCCATATAGCTAATTTTTTGAAATAAATTCAAGGGCTATGTTCAGGTTAGTGAAAGTGGTCAACCAATAAATACATTTATACAGATACAGTACATCTTGGATTATTTTTATCTATCTATGATTAATTTGCACAGCAACTTATTGTAAATAAAATGTTAAGAGCCACATGCAAACAGTTTTCATAACAATATTTTAAGGATTATTTCAAGTTTTCCGGGATCCTGTCCTGGTCTATAACTCAATTCATATCGAACGGTCCCCATCTCGTTACGAGTTAATATCATTAACATAAACATTTTACAAAATTTTCAATTCAAAAAATCTCAAAATGTTATTGTACAATTTATAATTATTAGGAGACCTTGAGAATACATACGAAATTTATATATGAATAAATTAAATTATCTGTAAAATAAAAATTATACACTTACACCTTCAGTTTATCAACTACTTAAGTATATATATACAACAAAAATCATCTTCACTTCATTTTACATTGTTTACACGTTCATTATATGAAAGTAACAAAAATAATTAGCAAAGATAATTTAGAATAAATAAAGGGTATGAACTATATGTAGTTCATTTTTATTTTACAAAAATTTACAATTCGATTTTAGTAACTTTGACATTGAATATAGAAAAAAATATAGTATTTTTTTCTTTTTTTCATCTCTTCGTCCTCATATTTCTAGGATAAAATAACAAGAATATTAAATGAACACCAACAGATATGTACACTTAAAATTTACATATTTCATATAGTATTAAAAGAATTTTAACATAAAACTGACATTGAAAATATTTTTTGGATATTATTCCATAGTCATCTAACTACGGAAGTATTATGTTCAAGGATAATTTTATGGTTCTATATAATATCACTATTATAACAAAAAGTATAGAATGAGTAAAAAATGTGCACATACCAACACACATATTTGTATTTAAATTGAAAATCTAGATGAATATTTACAATTATTGCTCATATTATGTAAACATATACATATATACATATTTATGTGATTTAAATGTTATCATAGTATGTGTATATATGTAATTACATATAATCTATGCATAAATCTATATTAGGTGTATGAAATATACCATAAGTATAATATTTGCTAGCAAAGAAAAAGAGAAAAAATACACAAGTGTCAAGGCTTTCAAAATAGGATTTCAAGCTTGAAATTTCAAAAAACAAAAAAAAACAAAAAATTTGATTTTCTGTTTTTGTTCTTTTTTTGTTCTTCTGTATTTTTCTGTATAAAGAATTTATTTAATTCACCATAATAACAAGTGGCATAAGTACATAATATTGTTGCAGCTACGATTAATCTATTCAATTCTATATATTTTTCTTATGTTAAAATGTTAGACTTTTGAATATAGCCTTACAAACATAGTTATTATATCCTTTATTTTATGGTAGAGTTCCAGTATAGTGACTACCTATTCATTATAATATGAGTTTATACTAAACAGATCGAATTATTTTCAATAATTGTTAATTACTGCAAATAGTAACAGAACAGGAATTGATA